CCTGGGAACCCAGAGAACAATTCCTGATCTTCCCCAAGTCCAAGAGGCCTGGGGACCTGGGAATCTGTAAGGATTGCAGTGTACCTGGGCCTAGGGTGCCCTGTAGTACAAAAATGGCTGTAGTGACCACTGGCTTAGGGAACTCCTCAGCCCACTTTGAATTCCTGGAAGGCCCTCTGAAGGATAGGTACAAACAAGACCTGACTGCAAAGGCTAGAACAAATACCTTATTCTTCAATGCGCAGATACCGACAAACATCAACATTATCAAGAACATTTAAGTCAATATGACCTCACCGAAAAGACCAAGATAAGCCACCAGTCACCAACCCTGGAGCAATGGAGATATGTAACTTCTCAGGAAATTTAGAATAACTATTTTGAGAAAGCTCGATGAATTTCAAGAAAACAGAAACAATTCAAAATTATATCAGAAAAATTTGACAAGGATACTGACGTAATAGAAAATAGCAAACAAATCCTGGAGCTAGAAAATGCCTTAGTGAATGTCAGTAGAATTGATTAAGCAGAATTAGTGAGCATTAAAAAAAGCAATTTCAAAATACAGTCAGAGGAGAAAAAAGAAAAGAATAATGAGAAGGAACACAGAATGCTTAAGAGATCTAGAAAAGGGCTTCAAAAGAGAAAGTCAAAGACTCACTGGCCTTAAATAGGGGGTTGAGAAGGAGCAAAGAGTAGAAAGCTTCTTCAAAGAAATAATAACAGAAAACTTTCTAAACCTAGAGAAAGACATAATATTCAGGCACATCGTGGAAGACAGTGTGGCGATGCCTCAAGGATCTAGAAACAGAAATACCATTTGACCCAGCAATCCCATGACTGGGTACCTAACCAAAGGATTACAAAACATTCTATTATAAAGACACATGCACACATATGTTTGCTGCAGCATTGCTTACAATAGCAAAGACTTGGAACCAAACCAAATGCCCATCAAAGATAGACTGGTTAAAGAAATTGTGGCACATATACACCATGGAATACTATGCAGCCATTAAAAAACGAGTTCATGTCCTTTACAGGGACATCGATGAAACTGGAAACCATCATTCTCAGCAGACTGACACAGGAACAGAAAAGCAAACACCGCATGTTCTCACTCATAAGTGGGTGTTGAACAATGAGAACACATGGACACAGGGAGGGGAACATCACACACTGGGGCCTGTCAGGGCGTGGGGGAGCTAGAGGAGGGATAGCAGGGGGTGGGGAGATTGGGGAGGGATAGCATTAGGAGAAATACCTAATGTAGGTGATGAGGGGTGGAGGTAGCAAACCAAAATGGCATGTGTATACCTGTGTAACAATCCTGCAAGATCTGCACATGTACCCCAGAACTTAAAGTAAAATAAAGACACAAAAGAAGATACACCCTGGAATGTGGTTTGTTCCCAGTAATTTGAAACATTTAAAGAATGGTTAAATGATCACTTGACAGTTATACTACAAACAGGAATAAGACAGCCTGAGTTAAACATCTTTACTTTGAGAAGACAAATTTTAATGCCAATTTTCAATCTTTAAAATCTTTGGTTTTATTTTGAAAAACAATCCTCAATCTTAAAAAGATCACGGCAAAGAAAAAAAAGGATTATAGTCCTTTTGCTTTTTCAAATAACAAACATGGAAATGAATTCTTATGAATGTCAATAGTCAATGCAGTGTGGCATATTAAGAATTTACTTTCATATAATGGCTAAGTTTAGCGAGATTGCATTTCATGAGAAAATATGAATTTTAATGGATTTTCTATTCTGTTTTGGGAAACGGTTGTTTGTTTCTTTTAGTGTATTCTCCTCCCTGTCCACATATGTGGAATCTGCCTATTCTCTTCTCTTCTGAAATAGTTTAAAAGACTCAAAGAGAATGGCCTGGGCTTTGCATATCCTTAGTCTGATAGACATTTCTCTAGCTGCTAACTTAAATAGATATTAGCAGCCTCTATCATCAGCCAGAAATTAACAAAGGCACAAAAATTAGCAAAATCTCTGTTTTGCTGTGGCCTTATGCTGACGGTCTTATCTTAAAGACAAAAAAATTTCATTGTATAGATTAAAATTAACTTTAGCAAAAATTGAAATGCGGGCAGGGAATTATTTTTGTTCAACAACAGAAACTAGCAAAAGCAAAGATACAGTAAAAATAGAAAATTTCCAGTGTACAGATGTAAACATAATAATTGACACAGCCAGGGATGATTAATGAATAATAAAATGTTGAGGGATGATCATTTGAATACAGGATATTAATACTTTTAACAACCATTTTTCCAGTTACTTCAGTATAAATAATGTATCTCTGAAAAGTACAGATCTGGCATCACGATCATGGTGATAGACAAATCATGGAACAGTCCTGGTATCACGGTCATGGTGATAGACAAATAGTGGAACAGTCCTGGTATCATGATCATGGTGATAGACAAATGTTGGAACAATCCTGGTATCATGATCATGGTGATAGACAAATGGTGGAACAGTCCTGGTATCATGATCATGGTGGTAGACACATGGGACTGTCTCTACCTGCAGATGGGTGAGGAAGCATTGACCCTGCAGTGTTCCCGGAAAAACACTTAGGCTGAATTTAATCATGAGGACATTTTCAGACAACTTCAGAGTACAGACCATTGAGCCAGACAGCTGACCTGTCCTCTACAAACAAGCCCATGTAACCACCATCAATGACAACAATAAAAAGATGAGGAGACACTTTGGGTTCAAAAGAACTAAAGAAATGTGGCTACATTATCTTTTTACTCTTTTTCAACCCAAAATGTCTCTTCTCCTTTTAGCTGTGTGATTTGTGGTGACATGGGCGGTCTTAAGGAGACAGGTCAGTAGTGCTGCTCACTGTTCTACATTCTGAAGTTGTCTGGAGATTACCTCGGGCTATGAAACCCAGGCTAAGAGTTTTCAGCAAGAACACGGTGTTGTTCATACTCTGCACTGGCAGAGTCCCATGTGACATGTTGTCTTAGTGTGGGAATATGACCCCTATCCAGGAGACCAGGTGGAGTCTTATCACCATCATAGTAAGCAACCTACTGTCCATGTCCAAAGTCAAGCGAACATGCTCTTCTACAAATAAAAAAATGGCATATGTGTAAGCCTGGCATGTGTAATAAAACTCAAGATACGCTGTATATGTTGAACACAATATATCCAGTGAGTACCAGAAGACTTCAGGCTCTTCTGCTTCCACCAGCTCCATGCTGAGCCTAAAAAAAAAAAAAAAAAGGAAAAACCAAAGAATAAGTCAGGGAAAATAAGACACCACAGAGCCCCAACTAGATTTCATGGGTAGCACAAGGAAGTGGTTAATAAAGAAAAAACACAGATCCATTAATAACGCAACAAATAATTGCCTTATGCTGGGATGGACAAGAGTAGGGTAAAAAAGAATGAAAAAGACAGAGAGAGAACCGTCAGTGAACCGCCCAGGTGACACACTGATGAGGGAGTAAAAGGACAGTCTCAGTTAGTGCCCTCAGGACACACAGTGTACACTGATCATAAAAACAAGCATGGTCAACCTACAGTAGTTAGTAAATGGTAAGGGGAGGAAGAAATGGAAACCTAAATATCTACTGCAATGAAAACCAACAGCAATGTTAGTAGGAATAATTCAGACTTCGTTGAAAAGATGGTATCGATATTGTCAGCCCACTCTGTTTTCCCTGGACCTGGCGTTTCCAGGTGTCAACACAACATTAGCTGTTCACAATTGCTCAAAGTTACCTGGGGCACAGTGGGCTCCGGCCTTCTTCCTTTTCTTGGTCCTTTTTAATCTCTGCAATAAATTCAGATAGGGACAGACAAAATAAGCCATTACCCTACACCCGTAACAGCCCACCGTCTAATCCCTGCACAGGGACCTCAGGCTCCTCAGCATGAGAACAGGATAATGTGAAAGACAGACTTCAGGAGGTCTCAAAGCCAATCATGATACAGATTCCTTGGTTTGTGTCTCAGAACCAATGGTGAAACGTCCCTATTCTGGCAGATCGTTATCCCTTTATCCCAAGTTGGTACCTACAGGAAAGAACCTCACAGACATGCATGGGGAACAAAACTCATGAGGAACATGGTAGCTGGCAAGAGACATTTAATTCAGATTGACAGACAACTCGTGGGCATGCGCTGCACAGTTTGGTGTGAGTTGGCAACACCTGCCTTGGGTTTCAATGTCCTTACGGTCGGTCCAGGGTGCGACAGGCATGGACTGAGACTAGAGAGAGAGCAAAGCTCACTGACCCACCGCATGCCCATGCTTCAGACTGGAATCCAGAGTGATTGAAATCTACACTGATGGACAGGTTCAGCCCACAGTGATGACAACTCTCAGCCCGGCCAGCAGAGCAAGGCCCAAAGACTATGGGGTCTATCTGGGACACAATGTGGAGCTTTATCAACTTCACAGTGGAGTACTCACTGCCTATGTCGACAGCCACGTTGACTTGCTGCTCCTCTAAGTGCAAGTTGCTCCTGTAAGACTCATTGAAGGCAGATGTGCCAGGAGGAATTGAGAGAGTCGAATAGCCTTCATCCCAGGACTCCTGGGGGGCTTCCTCCTCCACAGACTCCTGCAGATTCCTGATGAGCCAGGCAGGCAGGGATGACAGAAGATGAAACCAAGAGAGATTAGACAACAAAGTCTCCCAGCTGATCTGATGGAAGTCAGAATGGAATGGTCACAGAAAGCAAAGGCATTTTTCCTTTAAGAGAAATAAAAAAACTATCCTTTCTAAATGCAAGGTGGAGGGTGACTACCCTGGGGACAGAGCACAAATGAGCAGCATGTGCTCAGTGCATTTGCCATAGATGAGCCACTGCAGGCCACCGACTCTCTCTGTAAACTATCATCATGACTTGCAGCACGAGAACCAACACGGGGCTTCAACTGCCTCGCGTAAGTTGTGTTGAATTTTACATGCAGCATTCAAGTGAACAGAGCTCCTGAGGCATTTCAGACACCCAGATCTTGTGTATTAAGGCCCTCCCTTTTCCAGTATTTTGATATCATATGTCTATGTTTTGAATTCCTTCTCTTCACAAATCCTAGCAAACATGCTCACAACAAATGGGCAGAAAGCATATATGCGTCTCTCCCTGGGTTTAAACACAGTGGGGAGAACAGGCGAAACCCGGAAATCCCTGTTTGCTGAGTTCACCTGGCTCATCTGATTGCATGTTCCCATCTTGGGAAGAGTGAGAAATTAAAGCCTACACAAGTGCCACCAATCACCCACAACATTGTTAATAAGGACAATTTGTAGCTGGTGAATGGAAGAAAGAGTTCTAGTCATCACTTCCTCGTTTTCCCAGGATCTACAGTCTTCAGGTGTCACTATTGAACTAACAGCCCACAACTCCACAGCATTACCTGGGGGGCACTGGCCATCCTTCTTCTTCTTCCTCATCATCACTTTGTCTGTCTGTAAATAAATTCAGAGACGCAGGTCACATTAAGCAAATCACACTTCACATATGACCAAATCAGTGTTTAGTCATAGCACAAGCACAGAAATATTCTCAGGGCAAGAATACAAATTCTGACAGGACTATTCCAGGGTGCCCTAGATGAAGCCTGGTGAGTAGGTGAGCCTGCTTTCCAGACACACAGGCCTAAATCCCCCTCTATGGGTAGACCATAATGCCATATTCTCTGTCTGAGTCCATGCAAAGTTAAACCAAATTTTTTCCCAGAAAATCTCCAAAAATGAGTCAAACTCTTTTCTGGGAGTGTTGCTGCAATACTGACTTATCTCACCAGGTACCAAGGTAATTGAATGGTTAGAGGCATCTATACATGAAACTGGACTGATATATAAATTCTAACACTTGCTTTAAAAAGAATCTGTGAGCTTTGCTCAGTGCCACTTTCATAGCCAATGAGTTTTATCTGAGATGAGATTATTGCTAATTGAAAACTTTTCCCAATACCCCGCCGTGATGACATGCAATAGAGTCGGCCTTGACAATTTTTGAC